GGGCTGCCCCAAACCAGAATACACCACTGTATGTTGCCCCATCTTGTTGGAAAAAGCAGTACATTTTTTCTTCTGGTGTTAGTTGGTCGTAAAATTGTTCAAAGATGTCCAGGTAAACCGCAGTATTCACAGTTGATTCCCAAAAAATTGGGTCCACTATTCGTGTTCCTGACACCGCGCACCAAATGCCAATTTTCTCATCGTGAAGTGGTGTTTCAGGAGTCAAGTGGGGATTTTCAGCGGACTAGTACCTTGTATTCTTGGAATTTACGTGACCTGATAAATTAAACCAAGCTTTGTCCGTCATGAAGTACAACAATGGGTCCAAATGTCCATCAGCAATCATATTCAGCAACCATGTACAGTAATTTACGCGTTTAGCTTTGTCGGGCTCTTTCAGTTCTTGTACACATGTTATTCATAACGGTTTGAGGTTCAGAGATTTCAGCACTCGCCGACACGTAGCTCGTGATACACCAACTTGCTGAGACAGTCTTCGAGTTGATTTTCGGGGGGCTGCTTGCAATCCGCTGCTGAATGGACGACTTCGGGCGTCCGGACTGATGGAGGCCTCGATTTCTTAATGTTGGAGACAGAGCCGGTTTGACGCCATTTCTGAACCAGACTCTGAATACAACGTTTAGCTGGTGGTACTTGTCGGCGAAGGCCTCTTGCGTTTCCTTAATCGATCCGCTTTGCATATAACCTTCCACAATCACAATCAGGGAGAACACCATCTTTCTGACGGGATGTGCACAGAAGGACTAAATAGGAAGGCAAAATAAAGCCGGAACACTGCACACGGGGCGACACTACATTGCCAGACAGAGAGCAAGAGGCAGCGGCCTCCTCCAAAGAGCGTGGTACCGGTATTGGAGGCGGGCTACTTTTTCGTGCCCCACCCTGTAGTATTTACTTTGCAGTCTATCTTTTACACAACATACAGTATATACTGTGGTCAGGGGCGTCCCGAGGCCGGGAGTCACCGCGCATGCGGGGCCATCTGATTGATGCCTGCCGGTGCCCATCTTGGTGATGGACGCCAGCAGAGCGAGGAGGGGACATTCACCCTGCAGGATGAGATATGTCGCCGGGTCCCCTCCTCTCTCCTGACACTGTCGGGCTCTCGGTCCATGACCGAGTGCCCGACTTTTTAGAGGGGGTGAAACCAAATTGACAGTCAGTCATTTTGGTGTCACCCCTGCAATGGTGACACCCGGGTGCGGGCCGCACCCCCCACACCCCCCTTGTGACGCTACTGACTGTATCTTTTAC